GTTCTGAGTTCACCATGTCAACCTGCAATCTATTGGAAAGAATGGATATTTCATTGGCCTGTCCTCACAGAATTCAGGACAATTTGCAATACACCAATTTACAAATGGTTGCTTTTTGACAATGTGGCTAGCATTTCTGCCAATGCCTATATTTTATCAAAGAGGTGGATTAGGTGCTGACCTTGTACTGTTCACATTTGCTTTCCCACCACAGAAGACTTTTCTTAAAGTGTTACAAAACCCACAACAGTAAAATCAGTCCTTATATGCAGTAAAACATACTTGTTATACTCACTTTGGAACTTAAGGGTTTAATCCTCTGCATTGTGTAAAAAAAAATGTTTGGGCTTCTCTGATCCTCCCCTTCTTCCACATTGCACATTTCATCTCCTGATAGAACACAGCCTTAGGAACTCTCTGCACATGCTCAGTTTTGTGTGTACTGCTAGAGAGTTTTTTCTTTTTCTTCATTGGGTGCATGTGATCAGCACAGGGCAAATCAGTACTGTTCAGACAGAGGGTCAGGGGTTATGCGATCTCATAGGGCAGTGAGAGGAGAATGAAAACTCCTACAAGCTTTATCCAGTGTTTAGCTGGACACTGATAGAAGTAACAAGACTGCTTTAACTGCTGATGAGAAAATGTATTTAGCAGTTTATATTTACTAAAATAATTGCATTTCTATGTTCTGTGTACTGTGGGAGACTGGATATAGTGAATGCACCATCGAAAACTGTAGCTGCTGACTTTTAAAATACAGCCATTTCCCTGTCTCTCGGTCCAGCGGTGTCTTCACCACCACTGGTTTCACCGGTCGTCTTCTCTCCCTGGTGCTGGCATCTTCAGTGTGGGCACCCAGCTGTGACAGCTTGCGGCTTTACAGCCAGGTGCCCACTGCGCATGCATGAGAAGTGCTGCACTTTGTAAATGGCCCCATAGTCTTCTGGGACCACTCACGTGCACCAGAAGACTACGGGGAGGTAGGGGGGGAAGACAACTTCCGCTTCCAATCGCCTAGGCGATCGCAGCGAAAGTTGGAGTGGTTACTTGTCAAATTCGGGTACCCGATCCCCAAAGGTGCCAATCCTTAACCCCTTCACGATCGTTCCTGCGTGAAGAGGAGTTTCTGCGCTGGGAGGTGGGCGGGACAGGGTGGGGCTTAGTGTCATGTGGCAGCTGTGACTTCACTTCACGCCGGTCACATGATCGGGAAAGGTCCCGATCGAAAGAGCGGACCAGGACCTTTCCGTGAGTACCTCACGTGCTGGGAGCGCGCAGGGCGCGCTCTCAGCACATATGTTTTTTGTTACATGAACACAAATGTGCGGCCCCCGCTCAACGTCTAGGCCCAGACTCCGGGAGGCCGCACATTTGCGTGCGGCCGGTGTGAAGAGGTTACTAGGGAGCGGGGGACAAAGGCTTAAAGCGGAACTTCCCCTTTTGGGTGGAGCTCCACTTTAAGTACTTTTTTTGTCAAGTTGCTCTGAACGGTGCCACAATAACTTAACCCAACTGATGCTGTAATGCCATCTTGGCACCTGTGGGCAAGGGGGGTTAGAAGGAGCAGCACAATGCCTCAAAAAAGTTGTGACTTTTTCCTGGATTTTTCTTCCCTTTACTGTCCACCTCTGGATATTTGCAGCTAGATTCGGCAAGAAAAGTGTTTGAAAGAAGAGGTGCAGGATGTTAATACTCAGAAGCATCTTTATTGTTCAGGAAACACAAACCCATCTCTCTTTTCTCTGGTATGATGGCCCATAGTGTTGAAGATCACATGTCATAAGGGGTGGAGGTTGTACAACAGGAGTTCATTTTAAGGCTTCATTTGCATGGCTATAAAGGACCATGCACCTTCAAGAAAGTGCATATTTCTGGGCCTTGGAAGCCAGAGGTTTTTGTGTGCAAATGAAGTCAGCAAACTCTCTGCGTTCATATATATATAACTGCTCAGATGTTTGGTGGCACATGTACAGCCACAACATCTGTCAGCCTCCCATTGATTTGTACAGGCTCTTGGATGCTGCCATATGCATAACCTTTGGCCCTTGGGCACAGAAATATGTTCCACTTTGACAGTGCACAGCTGTCTATGGCCATGTGAATGAGACCTAGACACTTCTGAGCAGCATCAAGGCTTTCTTCATGACCAGTTGCAATCAGTGAGCTTCTATGGCTGGAGCTGTTTTAGGAGATGATTGATTGCAATTGGTTTCTGAGGTCGGAGTCTTCCTGATGTCTTGAGTTATTTGAGAACTCCTGTAAAACATGGCATTGGCAGTCGTCCGAGAGTGATAATCATAGTTGCTTGGCATTAGCTTCAGTATAAAGAGTGGCTGTATGAAAGTGTCTGCTGGAAGAATTGTTTAACTACTTCACCAGAGCGACCAATCAGGTTCTTCCTTGTCAACATGGAAGAAGAAAGTGATAATCTGATTGGTTTCTATTCAAAAACCACTTTAAGCGGATGTACTCTCTGTAAGCGTTGAGCTGCCTGAAAGTAATTTTATATGTTTTTCATGATGATTACATTTGTGCATGCTTTCTGTCTGTTCCATATTTTAACCACATAACAACCAATCAGCTCCCAGGTTTTATTTTCAAAGCTTAATTGAAAAAACTGAAGTTAGCAGCTGATTGGCTACCATGCACAGCTGCACCAGATTCTGAGTGCACCAGCTTTAGTAAATCCCCTCCAGTGTGTACCCAGCATAACACACTTCCAGTATTGTCTGGAGAGGGTAGTGTTAGGTGGACTTGTGGACTTTACACAAGTGACAAATAAAAAACTGACTCCATCCGGCACTTTATATGTCAGTACAGAAATCTTTTTTTTTTTTCCTTTTTTGGATAAAGGTTAGGCTAAACTAAACAAAAAAGTTGACCATGGAAAGTACCCCTGGCACTGTTAAATGGTTTGTCTCATTTGTCTAAATTCCACTTTTGGTGCAAAGCTTGGTCTGATAAAAGTAAAATAACTGCAGAATCACCAGGTAAAAAGCCCAATACGTGTAAATTTATTGGTTTACGTGAACGTTATAGCGTTTACAAATGGCGGTATATATACCGGGATTTTTTATTTTATTTTTACTAGTAATGGCAGTGATCAGCGACTTATAGCGGGACTGCTGGACTGCGGCGGACAATCTTACACTGGGGGGAACGGACTTGGTGTCACTGACATCCCTAGTGAAACCAATACAGTGATCGTTGCTAATAAAAAGCACTGACACTGTACTAATGGCACTGGGCAGGAAGGGGTTAACATGTGGGGCGATCAAAGGGTTAACTGTGTGCTGGGAGTGTTTTACTAAGTGTGCTGTGTTAGTGCTTCACTGTAAGCACACTGCTTTGCATGGCTGTGCTGTGCAGTGGGCAGGAGCTGACTGGGGAGAGAACTGTTTTGTTTACAAACAGTTCTCCCCCCCCCCCCCACCGTCAGAGATGCTCGGCAATCACCGGGTGCCAGAGAGTAATCACCGGCCGGGACCCTGGCCCCCCCCTATCCAGATATGCAAAATCACGTGTATATATACGTGATTTTGCACACAGCTGCCGCTCTGTAGCAATATTTCTGCTATGGGGCGGCGCTAAAGCGGTTAATATACACGTATTGGGATTTCTTTTCCAAAAGACATGTAGCAGAATACATTTTTGGCCGAAATTTCTGACTAACTTTGAGTTTATTGGATATTAAATTTAAAAAAAATATATTTTTTTTTACTATTTGGGCCAGTTTTCCTTTGATAATAATAATAATAATTAAACAAAAAATCAGGGGACATCCATTACCATTTACCACCAAAAGAAAGTCCAATTTGTCCTAAAAAAAACAAGGCATAATCCACCTGAAGTAGTTGTGACGATATGTTCAGTTTTACTAACATATGTCAAAGTTGTAAAATTCTGTTCAGGCATTACTATTTGTTTTACGCTCAGTGACTAAAGGGTTAAAATCAAGATATTGCAGATTACTGGTCATCATATTTGGTGGCCGCATTCGTTTTCTTTTGTGTTTCTTTGCCCCTCGGTTTTTACACATCTTGTATTAGCATTCCCCCACTCTGGATGAAGTAGCACAGGGGCAAATTTGGACAGCACCTATGTCAGTCTGGGAGGAAAGGGAGTATTAGTACTAGCAGATTTAGATACACCAGCAAATTGAAGCCAAACTCCAGCTCACATATTTTTAAGTAGTTACAGCAACACTTTTTTCCTTTGGGATAAATGTTTTCCATAAATAGAAGCTGATCATAATCGCCCCTGTCAGTGGTAAATGGTTTGTCTCAATCTTCTAACTGCTCATCTACAGGACAGCTTGTTCTGCTGAAAAACAAAAGACTTACTGCCAAGTAAACAAGGTGAAAATAAAAGAAAGCAATCCTAAAAAAATGACTTATGCAGCAACCACATCTAAGAATTGGTAAGCTGCAACATAATGAATGTTTGCTTTTGGGTTTGACACTGCTTTAATGCTAGTGACAGACTGTATCATATATGTATCATATATGACATTTGCCTTCAGTACCACGTTAATACAAATCACAAAGATTAAGGCCCGGTTCACACTGCTGCGACTTGACATGCCATTTGACAGTTCCAAATCACATTACAAGGTGCTTCCTATTGTAGGCAATGGAACCTTTCTGTCGGAGTAGTACTGATTTTGAAAATAGTTCCTGCAATATTTATGGCAATTTCAGGTGTGACATGCATTGACATCTGTGTGTGCATGAAATCACACAAATGTCAGGCAAGCCGCATATGACATTGCACCGGGTCCACAACTTTGAAATCTCGCTACTTTAAGTGAAGTAGCACAATTTCAGTGTCGCATTTGGTGTGAACCGGGGCAAAGTGACTGGGGTTTTTTTATTAAAACTTGAGAGTGCAAAATCTGGTTTAGCTCTGCATAGAAATCAATCAGCTTCCAGGTTTTTTTGTCAAAGTTTGAAGTGTTACTAAAGTAAACTCACTATATCTGGTCTCCCACAGTACACAGTACATGGAAATGCAATTATTTTAGTAAATATAAACTGCTAAATACCTTTTCTCATCAGCAGTATATCAGTCTTGGGACTTCTATCAGTGTCCAGCAGAGCACTAATTAAAGCTTCTAGGAGTTTTCATTCTGCTCTGACTGTCCTATGAGGCTACATAACACCTGATCCTCTGTCTGGATTGGCTCTGTGCTGATCACATGCACTCTCCCAAGGAAAGAAAACTCTCTAGCAATACACACCAAACTGAGCATGTGCAGCTTGCCTCCAAGGCTTTGTTTTATCAGCAGATGGATTGGGCACAGTAGAAGAAGGGAGGAATCAGAGAAGACAGGATTAAACATCATTTTATACAATGCAGAGGATTAACCCCTTAGATTCCACAGTGAGTATAACAAGCATGCTTTACAGCATATACAGACTGATTTTACTGTCGTGGGTTTTAGTTACACTTTAACTGAACAAGCTAAAGGTAGAATCTGATTGGCTACCATGCACAGCTGCACCAGAGTTTGCACTGAAAACTAAACTAGATTTTGCACTAAAATGCTAAAAACTGTCAAAAAGCAGTAGCTACAAAAGAAGAGGATTTATGTCCTGTCAATTTTGATCTGAGGACTCTTGTAGAATAATGGTCCCTTCACACTAGTCACATATCTCGGTGTGTTGAATTCCTTTTTCCCTACTATGCTCTCTGGTTCATCCTGCTGGCACAGGCTACATCATCACAGCGGAAGGCACCATTGCATGCAGCAGGGGTTGCAGGCATCCAACATGCCTAACAGTATGCAATGTGCAGATTCTAAACAGAATAAAAATCAGAGGGACAGGCAGCAGGACAGGACAGCATAATTCATTTTTTTTTACTTAGAGTTGCTTTAATTACATTAATCTGATCACATGTATATTGTCTAAAAAAACTATATCAATTTCCTTTGGAGGGACTCCCTCTAACTTCCTGATTTGGCTATGGGACTGGAAGTGAAGGGCAGTCCGCGCAATGATACATAGATGGCCCAAAAATCTGACAGGGCTTATAATTCTCAGTTTTGCCCTTAGTTCTACTTTGAGCCAGAACAGAGAAATGCAGTCTTTGTATCAGGTTGCTGTAACATGTTCTAGGACACTAGTAGAGCCTCTGGAAGAGCAGGATGCAGCCACTCCGGATAGCTACTGATCACTGTGACATTAGCCAGAGCAGCCTCTCTCATGCAAAAAGCACAAAGATAATCCCCAGACATTTCTTAATCATCATATGTACTGACGGCCGAATTCACTTTTCAGATTTTAAAGGCTGTTAAAGAATAAGCAAACATAATGTTTCATATTCCTGATATGTGCCTGCTATACCATGTGCTTGTATGAAAAACTACCCTGTTCTCTGTGTATTGCTTCCTTTGTGTGATATCCCTGCTGTTCCTGCCAGTCCCTCTGCTTTGCTATTAAAAAGAGATCACACTAAGCAAGAGAGCACAGCGTGGTCAGTTCTCTAGCTATGCTGGGAATTTAATATGCTCCCCTCCAATGGTCAGACTTGTTCTGACACCTTTTCTAACCTCCCACCACCGCACAGCTTTTCACTGGGAAGAGCATTGAGCTGATGTTTCTCCTCCCCTCAGCTCTTATGCAGGGGAGAATAGAGGGAATGTAATCTTTTATTTAAAAAAGTGAACAAAGGTATTCATAATGTTTTTTATATCTATACACAAGGTTTTTTTTTTCACCACCATTACTTGTAAACACAGAACTGCTTCTGTGTTTACAAGTGACAGCTTGTCCCCCAACGGCTCCCACAGATCAGTTCTCCACTGAGTTCAAGATGTGGACATGTGAGATGCAGGTGCCCGGGTACAGTGCAGATGCCAACACCCCCACTGGATGATCTCCCCTGTAAGAGAGAGAGGGGAGGAGTGACCTACAGTGTGCTGGAAGATTCTACAGCTGGTTGGGTGCTTCAGCTTAATACAGCTAAAAAAGTGAGATATGCAGAAGATGGTGGAGTTTTTAATAATAGGGGAGGAGATGGGGGCAGTAGAGGGGGGGGTTACATGCAGAGGTCAGAGCTGAAATGGGGTGGAAGTGAGATGTGGATGGGGGATGAAGAGGTATGTAGCTGTAGTGGAAGAGGGCTGAACTCTGAACTCTGTGTGTAGCACACCCATGTACTCTGCACTGTGTGTGTAGCACACCCATGTACTCTGCACTGTGTGTGTACCACACCCATGTACTCTGCACTCTGTGTGTAGCACACCCATGTACTCTGCACTGTGTGTGTAGCACACCCATGTACTCTGCACTGTGTGTGTAGCACACCCATGTACTCTGCACTGTGTGTGTAGCACACCCATGAACTCTGCACTGTGTGTGTAGCACACCCATGTACTCTGCACTGTGTGTGTAGCACACCCATGAACTCTGCACTGTGTGTGTAGCACATCCCATGAACTCTGCACTCTGTGTGTAGCACACCCATGAACTCTGCACTGTGTGTGTAGCACATCCATTAACTCTGCACTGTGTGTGTAGCACACCCATGAACTCTGCACTGTGTGTGTAGCACACCCATGTACTCTGCACTGTGTGTGTAGCACACCCATGAACTCTGCACTGTGTGTGTAGCACACCCATGAACTCTGCACTCTGTGTGTAGCGCACCCATGAACTCTGCACTGTGTGTGTAGCACACCCATGAACTCTGCACTCTGTGTGTAGCGCACCCCTGAACTCTGCACTGTGTGTAGCACACCCCCTGAACTCTGCACTGTGTGTAGCACACCCCTGAACTCTGTACTCTGTGTGTAGCGCACCCCTGAACTCTGCACTGTGTGTGTAGCACACCCATGAACTCTGCACTCTGTGTGTAGCACACCCATGAACTCTGCACTCTGTGTGTAGCGCACCCCTGAACTCTGCACTGTGTGTAGCACACCCCTGAACTCTGTACTCTGTGTGTAGCACACCCATGAACTCTGCACTCTGTGTGTAGCACACCCATGAACTCTGCACTCTGTGTGTAGCGCACCCCTGAACTCTGCACTGTGTGTAGCACACCCCTGAACTCTGTACTCTGTGTGTAGCGCACCCATGAACTCTGCACTCTGTGTGTAGCGCACCCCTGAACTCTGGACTGTGTGTAGCACACCCCTGAACTCTGTACTCTGTGTGTAGCGCACCCCTGAACTCTGCACTGTGTGTGTAGCACACCCATGAACTCTGCACTCTGTGTGTAGCACACCCATGAACTCTGCACTCTGTGTGTAGCGCACCCCTGAACTCTGCACTGTGTGTAGCACACCCCTGAACTCTGTACTCTGTGTGTAGCGCACCCCTGAACTCTGCACTGTGTGTGTAGCACACCCATGAACTCTGCACTGTGTGTGTAGCACACCCATGAACTCTGCACTCTGTGTGTAGCGCACCCCTGAACTCTGCACTGTGTGTAGCACACCCCTGAACTCTGCACTGTGTGTAGCACACCCCTGAACTCTGTACTCTGTGTGTAGCGCACCCCTGAACTCTGCACTGTGTGTGTAGCACACCCTTGAACTCTGCACTCTGTGTGTAGCACACCCATGAACTCTGCACTGTGTGTGTAGCGCACCCCTGAACTCTGCACTGTGTGTAGCACACCCCTGAACTCTGTACTCTGTGTGTAGCACACCCATGAACTCTGCACTCTGTGTGTAGCACACCCATGAACTCTGCACTCTGTGTGTAGCGCACCCCTGAACTCTGCACTGTGTGTAGCACACCCCTGAACTCTGTACTCTGTGTGTAGCGCACCCATGAACTCTGCACTCTGTGTGTAGCGCACCCCTGAACTCTGGACTGTGTGTAGCACACCCCTGAACTCTGTACTCTGTGTGTAGCGCACCCCTGAACTCTGCACTGTGTGTGTAGCACACCCATGAACTCTGCACTCTGTGTGTAGCACACCCCATGAACTCTGCACTCTGTGTGTGAGCGCACCCCTGAACTCTGCACTGTGTGTAGCACACACCCTGAACTCTGTACTCTGTGTGTAGCGCACCCCCTGAACTCTGCACTGTGTGTGTAGCACACCCATGAACTCTGCACTGTGTGTGTAGCGCACCCCTGAACTCTGCACTGTGTGTGTAGCACACCCAAAAACTCTGCACTCTGTGTTTACTGCACCCCTGAACTCTGCACTCTTTGTGTAGCGCACCCCTGAACTCTGCACTCTGTATGCAGGCCACTCCTCAACGCTGCACTATTTACATAGTGCACCCCTAAACTGCATTAGTAATGTACGTACTGCACTGTTGGTACCTAATGCCCCTTTATGACCCTCCCACTCTTAGTGAAATTTGACCATGACTATTTGATGCAGTTTGGTGTATGTGTGTGGGAGGAGAGGGGGCAGTTTTTTTTTGGGGGGGGGTTGAGTTCCTTCACCTATTTTCTGAGAAAAAAATCCCTGTCTATACACAAATGTTTTGCCTTTCATTTCTAATTTTAACTGAATGGGTTGTTTTACAAGGTGAGGGTTTACAATCACTTTAAAAAGTATGTAAACCCAACATTTTATATTCCTCATATGTGCCTGCTGTACCATGTACTTGTATGAAAAAGTTCTCTTTGTGTTGCTTCCTTTGTGTGAAATCCCTGGTGTTCCTGCCAGTCCTTCTGCTTTTCTATAACAACTGACCACGCTAGACATGAGAGCAAAGTGCAGTCAGTTCTCTAGCTGTGCTGGGAACTCATTGTCTCCTCCAATGGTCAGACTTCTGCTCACACACCTTCCCTGAACAGCCATTCATTGGGTAGTTCAGTGTGCTGCTGTTTCTCCTCGCCCAGCTCTCTGTTCTAAGCTGCATAAGAATCTTTTGGGTATGTGATCACTTATAAAACAGGGGGAAAGGTATTTATAATGTTTTTATACGTATGCAGGAATGTTTTGCCTTTTCAACTAATTTGCCTATTTTCAACTGAATGGATTGTTTTACAAGGTGAGGGTTCACGTATACTTTAAGCCTAAAATTTCACCAATAAGTAATCCACAGGAATGGCTATTTCCATGTCTGGATTTGTATGTGGATGCAGGCTGGGAGAAAAGACCTTGTTTTTTGCCACAACACCTGTTGGTGGAACCAACGCTTGTGGCTTTTAATAAGAATTGTCTATTGACCATAAAAGCCCATCAGATTGTTTCCAACAAGTGCTAGGAAAATGACAGTTTGGGCTCATTCACACTGGCATTGTCAAACCTAAGTTCATATGCATTTTCCAGGAAATTTCTAAATGCATATAAATGCAGGTAATGATTTCCAATAGTACCGTTTACACTGAGCATTTTCCTGTCTTTGGGTGCACCAAGATAATAGAATTTTATTTGTCTAGGATCGGATTGGAAGCTGAATGATTACTATTTCCTGCACAAAAATGCTCACCAACATGGGGGTCCAATGCAACAATGATTGTACTACTGTATATAGAGTCCAATCCCCCTGGTGTCTATATGTTGGTCTTTAGTGTCAGTAATTTCATAATGCCAGCCTTTGATCCTTCTAAAAAGTAATATGCCATTTTCCGTAGTCAGTAAATATACATTAAAGTCTGTTTAGCCAAAAATGTTTATACCCTTGTCAGCTTCTATTTTTGCTGTCTATGTTCTGTTGTAGAGCTTTCCCTTCATATACTGTATCAGAGATGTCACAGGGAGGTAAAAACAAATTTGTACGATCTGTTTTAGACAGTTCTCACCCATTGGAAGATATCTCTCCATCTCCATCTCCTGTCCTCATGACAATTCAAAATGTTCTATTTCCCATCACTTTCTGTACCAGAGACAATCATCAGAAAGAGGGGGTTAACCTCCCCAACTGTTAGAACCCTTTCCTACACTATACAAAAAAAGTTGTCTTTTTTCTTGCTGCCCATAGAAAGTATAAAGAAAACTTCTGGTGCCAAAATAATAAAATTTCAAATTGTGCTGCTCAGAAACCTTTAATGTAAGCCCTTGCTGTCAGAAAATGTAAATGCGTAAACCAGATGAAACAAACTATCTAAGATTTAGTATTCCCAGGATTGTCCATATTACTAATGTCAAGGCTTGAACATTAGATTCCACAGTGTTTTGGTGCTGATATTCTCTAGTTCTCTGGTCTCCTCCTCCCCATGCCCGCCTCCAGGACTTCTCCAGGGTGTCACCCATCCTCTGGAACTCCCTGCCCCAACCCATCAGATTATCACCTACTCTCCTCTCCTTTAGGCGCACCCTGAAAACCCATCTCTTCAGGGAAGCCAACCCCACCCTCTGCTAACTTGCCGACCTCCTCCACTCTTCCTACCACTCCATCCCCCACAGCTATCTCCTCCTGTGCCACCATCCCCTCCCCTAGATTGTAAGCTCGAAAGAGCAGGGCCCTCAATCCCCTCATGTTTTGCATTGTATTGGTATTGTTCTGTCACATGTTCTGTCCCCCTTTGTAATGTACAGCGCTGAGCGAACTATTGGCGCTTTATAAATACTGTGTAATAATAATAATAATAATAACCCTAAGGCTGGCCATACACTACAATTTTCTGTCCAATTTCTGCCCAATTTCCTTTAGATTTACCTTCAACAATGTAGTGCAAGAGCCTGCCTAATTGGATACAATTGAAAGTATTGTTAGATTTGACCTCCTATTATATGGTTTTTGGTAAATCTAAACCAAAAATCTCAAGAAAATTGTATAATGTTTGGCCAGCCTTAGGCTCCGTTCACACTTGAGCGATTTTCTGCATGAAGCTTCTAGCTCTAAAACTCTCAACAAGCCAAATTCGATTCATTTCAATGGCCCCTGTTCACATGTGAGTGTTTTGTCACATGAAGCAAAACTCCTGTCGCTCAAAAAAAGGACACAAGCTTCTTTTTGGCAGATTACAAGCGTTTTTGGCCCCATAGACTTCAATAGAAACACCTGGAAAAGTGTGACTTGAGCATTTTACAAGCAATTTCTGCTCACACAGCAGCTCTTCACCCCTAATTTCTTCCCCCTCTTCTTCCTTTAGTGCTTTCTATTGGCTAAACAAAAATGCCTGAAGCTGTAAAATGCTTGTAATACACTTCAAAAACGCTCAAAAACTCTCAAATAAAAATGCCAGTAAATCGCTACACTCAGGTGTCAAAGCAGCCTTAAAGTGTTACTAAACCCTCAACAGTAAAATCAGTTTGTATATGCAGTAAAGCATTCTTGTTATACTCACTGTGGAACTTAAGGGGTTAATCCTCTGCATTGTGTAAAAAGGCTGTTTGATCCTGTCTTCTCTGCCCCTCCTCTTGTTGAAATGATCACCTTATACAGACTGAATCCGTAGTCACATGCACATGCTCAGTTTGGTGCATATTGCTAGAGAGGTTTTTTTTTTCTTGATAGAGTGCATGCAATCAGCACAGGGTCAATCAGCACTGTCCAGACAGAGGGTCAGGGGTTTCACATCCTTCTAGAGCAGAAAGAAAACTCCTCCTACAAGCTTTAACCAGTGCTCAGCTGGGCACTAATAGAAGTCCTTAGACTGCTCTAACTACTGATGAGAAAAGGTATTTAGCAGTTTATATTTACGAACATAATTGCATTTCCATGTTGTGTGAACTTTGGGAGACTAGATATAGTGAATGCAGGGTCCTGGGTTTAGTAACACTTTAAGTTGCTAAGGTATTGCAAGTTTCCCTATTTAAAGCTTCATATAAGTAAATGGGGTAAACATCAAAAAGATTGAGCTTTGGGTAGTATGCTGCATAGCCTGTCAATGTTTCAGTAAGGGATGTTGTTGAACATGTTATGGACAACAGACAATTTATTAATAAAAAAACGAAATATAAATGATATCCAGGACTACATGTGTGTCTAGGTCTACCCAGGGCTGCTCAGATCCAAAGCTGACATTTGTCTGCAGAAGATCCCTGACATTTTTATACTGTACATAGGGTTTTCTAGGCCCATTCTTGTGCAGCAATAGGTCAGATTTCATGGTGGAATTACAGTTCTAAGTATAAGAGATATACATTTAATACCAAGAAACTCCTATTACCAAACTGACTAAGGACTAGCAGCAAATAGTAAATGGTTTCTTTTTATTCACAAGACTTCTTTACATGACACAATAATTAGAAAGATTGAGAATGACAGATTTGGATGTTCCCGCCCTTCCTCAAGCTCAGCAGTGTTGATTCAACAGCGTTGAGCATCAGGATGGGTGGGTACGCTCAAAACTGTCACTCTAAATGTCCCTAATTATCGTGTCATGTAAGGAAATCTTGTGATTAGAAACTTTCTATTATTTGCACCTCAGTCCTGGTCCTTATTCATTTTGGCTTGTACATAAGGCAGTGGCTGGAGCCCATTGGACTAATTGATTCAATCTCTTAGATTGTAAGCTCCAAGGAGCAGGGACCTCCGAACCCTCTTGTATTGAACTGTATTGTTGCTGTATTGTCTCCCGTTATATTGTAAAGCGCTGAGCAACTGTTGGCGCTATATAAATCCTGTATAATAATAATCTTTGATCTATACAGTATGCTGTCTGGACTTATATACAGAAAAACATGGTATACATTAACCTCCCTGGCGGTATTCCCGAGTGTAGCTCGGGGTAAAGTTTCAGTACCACAAGCGGTAACCCCGAGCTACACTTGGGCTTACCATGCGGTGCTGCCCCGGGATCTGTTTTTCTCTTACCTTGTCCTGCGCTCCCGCGATTTCCCTCCTGAAGTGTCCACTGTAATGTCCTCCGGCGGATGCCGGCATCTGTCTTATGAGTTCTGTCCCCTGTGACGTCAGGACATATGGGGGCGGAATAGCGAGAAATTTGAAAATGACAAAAAGTGACATTCACTAAATTCACTAAAATCACATAGTATAACATTACTGTATCAAACCATTTCACATACATTTTGTCCCTAGTGCTTTGTCCTGTGCCCTGCCTACATTTTTACTGTTCTTTCTGCCTGGAAACTGAGAAATGTCCATGGCGTCCAAAAAGCGCCCTTTCGGTCAAAATCGGTTTTAGACCAGCTAGAGAACAGCGATAGTAAATTAGAACTACTTGCAGAATTGAGCGATTAAGATTCGTGGGGAAATTTGTCATCAGACAGTGAAAACGATTTTGCGACTTTGCTCAGTGATGTGTGAACTTGGCGTTGTATTTAAAATTTCAGTGTTTTTGGTTTGATTATATTATTGAATTAAATTTATTATTATTATATTATTATTTTTTATGATTATTAAATTATAATTTATGATTTCGTGTTTCAAATTTTAACATACCCGGGATGTTTACTAGACTCTTCAGTGTCTCTTCATACCCCATACCCGGGATGTTTACTAGTCTCTTCAGACAGATTTCAGTGAATTATTCCTAAAAATTACAGGCCTACAATATAAAAAAATAAATATTTCCATGCAAAAAAATGTACTGCTATGAGCACAGAAATATGGACATAATCAGACCGTTGTGGAGGGTTAAATTGTTCTAAAGGCTCAAGGTTTTTTACCTTCATGCATTCTATGTATGAAGGTAAAAAACCTTCTGTGTGCAGCATCCTTCCAGCCCCCCCCCCCCCCCAATACTCACGTAAGCCTCCTGTCAATCCAGCGATGTACACTGGAGTTTCGGCTATCCCGTGACTCCCTCTTCTCATTGGCTTCGACAGCAGTGGGAGCCATTGGCCCCCACTGCTGTCAATCACAGACAGCGAGCCAATGAGAAGAGAGAGGGGGCTGGGCTGAGACGCAGCTCCGTGTGTGAATGGACTCACAGAGCAGTGGGTGCCCCCATAGTAAGCTGCTTGCTGTGGGGGCACCTAACAGGAGGGAGGGGCCAGGAGTGCCTGCGAGAGACCGGAGAAGAGGAGGATCTGGGCTGCTCTGTGCAAAACTACTGAACACAGCAGGTAAGTATAGACATATTTGTAATTTTTTCTTTAAAAAAAAAAAAACCTTTAGAACCACTTTAATTTCCGAAAGTACATCAGCCTAAGGCTTCATGAACACTGTAAGCTTAAAAACAGTTTTTATCCTACAGGAGTTTGCAGCATCAAAAACGCTGTACAAAGCCATGTTGCTTGCACATTCACAAGCGTTAATGTGCGTTCAGGCGCAATAATGCATGATCCTGCATCTGGTGTTAATGCATTCTATTGGCCATTAGAATACATTAACGAGGGATCGCTCACTTAGTGTCCGTTAACAAGCAATTGGGTGCTTTTCAGTGTTTTTTATGTTCAAAAGCTCCTCTCCTGAACACACAAGTGATTCGTTTTTGCTGTGCCGTAAACTCCTCTGCCACTAAACTCCTGAAGATGAGGATAGTGTGCATAGACAGAAATACATTGCAGAGTATAAAAATGATACAATTCTTCTTACTGTGTGTAGCAGTAACACTGCCGAAAGATTAAATGAGATTTATATAATGTGTAATAACATTTCATAATATCTTTTATATGCAACACCAATATTTTATCTTTAGCTGCCTGTCTGGAGGTTCACATAGTATGTTTTCCTACAAAGTCATTCCAGCCTTATTATTCTGTTCTGCACACTTTTGTTTCATGTGCATTGTATACAAACTGGAATAAAATGTGTATGCTTAATGAGCGCCTTGTGATGAGGATCCATAGTGGCATTGGGCCAGTACTAGAGGGATTTAAGACTTTTGTCAAATCCTTCCTTATTAGGAGTGCTTTTTAATCCATTGGAATAAGTCTACCAACACTGCCATGCTTCACTATGTGATTAGCTTTAACTGACACAACATATTTACAAATGGTAAGTACCAGTCATGCACAGTGCAACTTACAGCAACCAGGCTAGGGTGATTCCAGCGAGCATTTTTTCTGTGGATGTAGAAGCTCCTGTATGTACACGGAAATGTAGGAATTGATTACAAAATGCAAAAATATCTAGTAAGTAATATACAGTAATAAAAGCAAATATGTCCCCTGTGGACAGGAAGATGTTTTTAACCACTTACCCTCCAGATTTACCCCCCTTCCTGACCAGGCCATTTTTTGAGATACAGCGCTGCGTTACTTTAACTGACAATTGCGTGGTCATGCAACACTGCACCCAAATGAAATTTATGTCCATTTATTCCCACAAATGAAGCTTTCTTTTATTGGGATTTGATCATCTCTGCATTTTTATTTTTTGCACTGTAAACAAAAAAAGACTGACAATGTTGGAAAAAAAACAATGTTTTGGACTTTTTGCTATAAAACATATCCAGTAAAAAAATATAAAAAATCTAATTTTGTCATAAATTGAGGCCAAAATGTATTCTGCTACATGTCTTGGCTAAAAATCCCAATACATGTAAGTTAATTGGTTTACATTAAAGTTATAGCGTCTACAACTAGCGGTATATATATTGGAATTTTAAAAAAATGTTTTCATACTGGTAATGGCGGCGATCAGCAACTTATAGCGGGACTGCGGAACTGTGGCGGGCATTCTGACACTGGGGGGGGGGGGGAACTGACTAACTGTAACTGACATCCCCAGTAACACTAATACAGTGTTCAGTGCTAATAAAAAGCACTGACACTGTACTAATGACACTGGGAAGGAAGGGTTTAACATCTGGGGCGATCAAAGGGTTAACTGTGTGCTGTGTGTGTTTCACTGTGTGCTGTGTACTGTGTTTTACTAGGGAGGCATGCTATGTTTGTATTTCTCTGCTATGCCGAGCAATACAAACCAGCATGCTGGTGCTGACAGGGGAGAGATCTGTATTCTTTACATACAGATCTCCCCCTGTCAGTGATACTCAGCGATCACCGGGTGCCGGCAGAGAATCTCCACCCGGGACTCTTGATCGACAGCTGCAGCCACCAGAGGCGGCACAGGTAGGGTGCACGCGCGCTTCCTACCAGGAGATACAAAATCATGTATATATATATATATATATATATATATATATATACACAGGTGAAACTCGAAAAATTAGAATATCGTGCAAAAGTTCATTTATTTCAGTAATGCAACTTAAAAGGTGAAACTAATATATGAGATAGACTCATTACATGCAAAGCAAGATAGTTCAAGCCGTGATTTGTCATAATTGTGATGATTATGGCTTACAGCTCATGAAAACCCCAAATCCACAATCTCAGAAAGTTAGAGTATTACATGCAATCAATAAAACAAGGATTGTACATAGAACAATATCGGACCTCTGAAAAGTATAAGCATGCATATGTACTCAGTACTTGGTTTGGGCCCCTTTTGCAGCAATTACTGCCTCAATGCGGCGTGGCATGGAAGCTATCAGCCTGTGGCACTGCTGAGGTGTTATGGAAGACCAGGATGCTTCAATAGCAGGCTTCAGCTCTTCTGCATTGTCCGGTCTCATGTCTCTCATCTTTCTCTTGGCAATGCCCTATAGATTCTCTATGGAGTTGAGGTCAGGCGAGTTTGCTGGCCAATCAAGCACAGTAATCCCATGGTCATTGAACCAGGTTTTGGTGCTTTTGGCAGTGTGGGCAGGTGCCAAGTCCTGCTGGAAAATGAAGTCAGCATCCCCATAAAGCTTGTCTGCAGAAGGAAGCATGAAGTGCTCCAAAATC